TTATTCAAGTCTATACACAAACTTTTAAATTGTCGATGTTAAAATTTAAAATTAATATTAACGATGAATGGCGCAGAATATTAATATTAATTTTAAATTTTAACATCGACAATTTAAAAGTTTGTGTATAGACTTGAATAATAAATATATATTTGAATTTTAAACACAAACATGACGCATCTAAACTATAAAAATAAAATTATTAGAGTAATCAAATGTGCTAAAAATAACTGCAAACTTCCAAAAATAGATCTTGATTCTGTGATCAATAGCAAAGCATAGGTCTCTATTTTTCATTTCACTTAAAAATTATAGCAGCTAGGAAAAAGTCCTTGAGGCAGGTACGTTTTATACTATTTTATAAAACAAATAAATATCTCCAGATTTATACATGTGTTTCATATGACGTATTCTTTTTGGTATAGCATACCACAGTGATTATTTGTGTTAAAAAACAGTGTTATAGTTATCCATAGATTTCAATGCAACAAATAAACAGTTATTAAACATTTTTATTTAATTACTTTTCTGAGAAGGTGCAATTTTTATTAAATTATATCGTCTTGTGTTTATGTGCATACATTAATAATAATCTGAACTTATAATATTCTTCATACATTCATTAAATAATTCAATAAATTTCTAATTTGGTTTTGCAATTAAACTGTGCATGAATTTCAAAATGCTTCTATATTTATAATCATGTCTGAGCCTCTAAAAATATAGTGGTCATTAAAACAGTCCAAGCTAAATCAAAGTTAATATGGCTTAGCAGTTTTTTTTAAATTCTCCAAAATAAAACTTAATAAAATGTGACTTGTGGGTACACAGATTTCTCATTTGAATGCAGTGATTGCAAACGTGACTTTAAAAGTAAAATACTCTTTTGAAGATATCTTAATATATTTGGAATATAAACAAAAATATTAATATATTTTTTAAAATCAGTAAAGATCTATTTCCTTGACTCATTACATGAATCCAAAATAAAATCATGGTAGTTAATAAATTCAATTCATATATGTGAGGATCAAATATTTTATAACGACAGTAAGAAATCAAAATTCTGTTCACAAATAGGTTAATAATATATTAAAAACAGAAAATACGTGGTAAATACAATTTATAATTGTTCATGTTCTCATCCATAAAAAACAAAATGATTAAAATATATAAACTATTACAGGTTTTTAACATTAAGAGAAGAATATAGAATGAGGGAATTGTTAGTAAGGTAATGGGAAGCTAATTCATAATTTTTGTATTTGCAAAATACTATAAGAATGATTAAAACGAGGAAGATGAAGTGGGTGGTGCACGTAGCATCACGGGTATATAAAAATGCATAAAAATTTTGGTCAGGATGCAAAGATAATATTACAATGGATTGTAAAAGACATGTGTTCGAGGGTATGAACTGGACGTAGGTGACGCACGATAAGAGCCAGTGGCACTGAAACAAACCTCAGTGTTTCAAAACTGGTGGAAAACTTCTCTATTAGCTGAACAACTATTACTTTGGAACATTTTACACAACATGTTTCGGTTTTTATAAAACCATCATCAGGTGTAAAATATCTAAGAAACTTAAAACTCAAATATGATTCCATTTGGTGATGTTTTCATTACGTTTGTTTTTCCATTTTTGGGCGAAGGTGTTGTTTTTTCTTAAATTTTATTAGATGTAAAAATGTAAATCGATCAATCGAGATGGAACATCAATGATATTTTATTATCTTAATTATAAGAAATTTTAAATATTGTGATAAGACGGATTAAAATAAATAATTGTTATAATATTCACAATATGATGCAATTACACTATCTTATTACTTTGAAGATGGCAGAACCATTTAGTCCGTTAGTCATAATTTTGTTAGATGCGAATTGGGTAAAATAGATAAAACAAGTGTGTGGTTTCTTGACGCCTTGTTAACATTAAATCTTTGTCATTTTATTCTTTAGAAACATCTCTATGCTCTTAATACAGATAAGGCTTTAGAGGCTGTGTTTTCTTAAGAATTCCTTTCCTTGCCTGTATCAGAAATGACCTCAACCAGGAATCTTAATCATTGACCAGATAGCAACAAAACATGGTTGCCATAGAAAGTCCCTCATCTCCCACATTGTGGGACACTGCAAACATAATCTGTGAATGACTTATCATGTCTTCATGAACTTGAATAAATGTATCTAAACTATGATTAGATTTTAATTCATATTTTAAGTAAGACGCTGCCTCATATGGTCTAATTAGAAAGCCACCACTGCAAATTTACATGTCTGCTTGTTTCTTTTTGTTAAACCTGACTTCAGAAACAATAACCTAAATAAAAGGAAGTAAAAACAGCTTTTAGTATTTGTTATAATTGCAACAAATAACCTTGTACCTTGCTAAAGTCATAATTAACACAAACTAGTACTGAAAGGAAATAAGTATCAAATTTACAGTTTTTTATGTTTCATTTAAATTTTATGTGTCTTTGTACTGTCAGACCAGTTCATTTAAATGCTCTGTTTCTTTATACACAAATACACTAAATGTAGTGGGATTAAATTAATTATACTTCAAATATAATGCATTGGTCACGACACAAATAAAAACCTGATTAAATTCATCACATTCCAAATTAGTATATCACACAAAGACTTGTTATCTAGCTTGAGAGATTAATTTATTTTGCCACTCTCACTACAATATATTTCACAAAGAATAAATTATCTCACAAGTACTGACTTAACAAATTATATGTGAAGGTTAGTTAACCAAACTCAGTGTCTTACACTTGTGATGCTCTTGAAATAAGCTCCTTATTGATAAAGGATAATGAAAATTATGTGTTTATGAAATTATATAACCTTACCTGTTAACAAATGTATCTTATCATTCCAAGTAGAAGAACACTAGTAATCTAATATAAAGTATTTTGTATCAGTTTAGTCTATCAGATAAGGAATCTTGAAGAAGCAATAACATTTGATATAATTTTACTTGGAAAATCAGCACATGCATTCATACAAATTCACATAATCTTGTGCCAGTGGGTGTTTATAGAAATCAATTTAGATACTAAGCACTTATGTAAAATATATGATTGATAATGGTAACTGATCCTGTAATACCTTCAAGGCTAGCTGTCTTCAATTGTGAATGATGCTTACTACAGGCTATCTCCAAGTGCCTATAAGAAGGAATGTTAAACAAATGAAATAATCAATACATAAATCAATCAGCATTATCCATTTTAAATATGTTTTAAAATACATGTTCTACATTCTTTGGTTTAGTCCTAAGAAGGATTTATGGAATGTAAATAAACTCTACTCTACTCAGACATAATCCATCATCATAAAAGAAAATTGAACTTCTCAGTATTCTGAAGTACAAACAAATTATGCATAATTTTTCTGATAAAGTTAAGCGACATGTTTGTTTATATAGTGGTGTTTTGCTCAAGAAACAACATTATATACCAGTGATGCAAATAATTGAAAGAAGACCATTCACACATTACAAGCAACTACATTTTTCCGGTCTTAAAAACCATTCTTTTTAGTTTAATTATTCTTCTGCTGTCTTCAAATAATATACACTAGCCATTCCCATTTAACTGTCACATATTTTTATAATATTTCTCAATTTTGGTTAAGAGGGTTTCTCTAACACCAATGCCCTTTATTTTTTAAACATAAAATACAGTAAATTTCCCAGTATTTAAGATTTCTTTCTATTATAATCCACTGTAAATATTTCTCGGATACTACCTAATTTTCAAGCAGAAAAATCCATAATTTTCTTAGGATTGTCTCAATTAAGAGGAATTATTTTACCTGCCATTTGTTGTAACATGAAACTGCGTAAGATATTTCATCATCGACAAGGTTAAAATAGTGTAGCGACCAAGAAATTCTTGACTTTGTATGAAATATGATGCTTCACTAATATTTTTATCAGTGCTTGCTAATGGATGCTGCCTAGAGAAGATTATCCATTTCATGTACCATTTTAATATTATAGTCCCATCTACACCTTAGTCTTCCAGTCTCTTCCTTTCACATTTTCCAGCTACATGCATTTCTCATCTCTCCTTGACTTGTTTGCCCAGTGTTTGGCGTTCAGCGCAAGTAACGGAACGCTCAGCTCTGAAACTCCGTTATTGTATAAATATATAGAAACCAGTAGCGCCATCAGAGAGAACAATAAAATAACTACAGCAACACGTCTTGGTCGCATGAGACCATCTTCAGGCCCTGTAGATATTTTGCCTGCAGTAAAAACTAAGTTTCACAAAAACCCATAAAAGTCTGAGATTTTTGTGACCTGATTTTGTTTAATGTTTGCACAAACTTGTCGCAATGAGCTACTACAAATGTATGACCATATGGTCAGGTTAGGGACTTATGGAGTCAAAATATGTAGAAAAAAAAAATTGATGCAGTATTCAGAGACAGGAAGAAAATTTGGATTGTCAATGTTTTGGACTTTCTACATCATCTGATGTTATCATATCAGATGATTGATAAGTCAAGATTGCATTACAACATTATCAGAACATTTTAGATTAGAAAAAAGTTATTTCACAGAATTACGCTTTACATCACAAATAAATGTCAAATCATGTGAATACCCCATTTCATAACTTCTATTAGAGTGGAAAGATTTATAACTTACATAGAAGAACATATGTGTATTATATTCTTATGCAAAAACTTAACATGTTTGAACTTAGCAACATTAACTCTGGTTCTAAATTTTGTGCAAAGTTATCATCATAAGGAAACAGTAACATTCAAGAGTGCAGTACTTTCATGCACGATTTACCTTTTACTTATCTCCACTGTTAATGAAACTTAGATAACAATTTTTTTTACCAAACTTTGGAAAAGAATGTGAAAGGGGTGGTTAAATTCGTTGAACTGAAAACTGAGGTTCAGTTTTTGTGTAAAATTAAAAAGAACATATGATAACAATATACGCAATGTACTGTTTCAGATTTCACTAGCTTGAGGTCACGATGGGTCAGACGTGGCTTATAGGAGGAAGTGTAGCTGTTCTGCTGCTGATACACAGCATAGGAGCGACTGTAATTCCACTCCCAGAATTTCATTTCTCTGCTGATCGTTACAATGAGAGTTCTGGAGTTCGTGCTGAAGATGGAGATTATCGTTTACCTGTAACAGTTATACCAAACCGTTACAGAATTACATTAACACCAAATTTTGATGATTTTAATTTTGTTGGTGAGGTCGACATTGAAGTTACTGCAGAAAGTGCAACAAGTACCATCAGTTTGCATTATGACAGTATTATCATAGACACAGTAACAGTCACCAGTGTTGATGGTGAAAACGCATATGAAGTTTCTGAGCAATATGATGAAGAAACAAATATTTTTACACTCACACTGACTGACGAACTCGAACCCGAACCCGAATTCCAACCAGGAAACTACATAATTCATATCGAATACAGAGGTGAACTTCGAAATGACATGTCTGGCTTCTACAGAAGTTCTTACACAACTGATGATGGTGAAGTAAGGTAATATATTGAATGATCAGTATTTCAGTATGTAATTAGTAGATAATTAGTGGCCGAGCAGTCTGAGGCGTGGGCTTTGTGCCTCTCGGACACTGGGACCATGGGTTCGAATCCCACTCAAGGCATGGATGTTTGTGCTGTCCTTTTTACAGGTAGAGGTTTTGTGACAAGCTGATCAATCGATCAAGGAGTCCTACCAACTGTCGAATAGATCAAGCAAATCCTCCAAAAAGAGAGGTAAAAAGCAGACCCTGCCAAAATGGGACAAATTCTAAAAGAAGAAAAAATATCAGTAGATAACTGGCATTGCATGTCTTTTGTTGCACAATGATGTTAAACGTTTTTGCAACAGAATGGAAATATATGAAAAAAAAATTGATAGGAAGTGTCGGACACTGCCACAGTTATTTTCGTGAAAACGTCAATCGTGTATAGTACGTATATTGAAATTAAACAAAAATTTTCAAATTCACAGCCTCGTATCTTTTTGAGTTTTTGAGATACACACTTGGAGCCCAGGATGAGTTGTAACATATACATCATATCATATCATATTATGAAAAGGGGAAAATTCTCTTCATAATTCTTCTTGTTCTAAGTAATGTTGCTGGTCACCAGCCCAGTGTTATGGTGTTGGGAAAAATGTCACATTGTACGTTTTTAAACTTGTGCTGAACCTTCTCCAGGCTTAACAGGTAATGTGGTGCAAATTATGTGCTTGGCATGAAAGAAAGCTGGTGTCAGTTGGCAATTGGTATCATTTGAAATGCCTAGGATCTACCATTCTATACAATATGAGTAGCAAATAATCAGAAGATGGCTGTTTTCTGGTTTGTTGCGCCGTGTAGTCTGATACAAGTTTACTGACGTCCGTAAACTTCTACCAGACTACACGGCGCAGCAACCCAGAATACAGGCATCTGCAGACTCACCTCCATGAAAACCTCAAATCGCATGTACATTAATGTTTAATTTCTACTGTAATGGTTAAAATCTTGCATGTCTGGGAATGCTGTCTCTTTTGTAACAAATTGTATGTGTTCCTTTTTAATATACATGACAAACTTCAACTGCAAAATATTCTGTTATTTCAGATGGCTGGCTACAACACAATTTGAGGCGACGGCTGCTCGTAGGGCTTTTCCATGTTTTGATGAACCTGGACTAAAAGCCCGCTTTAAGATCATCATCAGAAGACCTGAGGGCTATGGATCAATCAGTAACATGCCTTTGGTCGGCATTATACCGTATGTAGATATATTCATTTATACTTAATGTTGAAGCTAATAATCTGAATTAATAAATTTAGAAATAAGAGAGCATTTTCTTAAACCTGCTGCCAAATATGTAGTGGATATTCTTTTATAAGTGGTTAGGGTTGACAGTTGCTCTTTTTCATACATGACAAGGTACGAGTACATTAGTTATATATTAACAGTTCATTTTATTTATAATTGTGAAAATTGAACATTAACCTGTGTCATACAGGGATGCCAGCTGATATTTAGCTCCAGGGTGGTGGTTTAGGAGCATGCTTGCGCAAAGCACAGCCAGCTGGATCATGCATAAACTGCATTGCAGGGACAGAATTGTTTGAATGGGTGATAATTATATCCCAATTTAAAAAAAAGTTATAACTCTAGAAAACGAACTTGTGGCTGCCATAATGAGTACTTAAAAAACAAAATATAAAAAAAATTGAAGTTTCCTCCATTCTGACACACTTCTTATCAAAGTTCTGTTCATTTCTTATAATCAGGTCCTAATTATGACTCAACTGTGTATTAGAAATTATAAGTAGTAAGAAAAGACTGATTTCATGCCACTTTTGAAAAAGTTCATAAAAAGAAGCAGTAATTAATATAATTTTTGTACCACTTTCAAAAACTTCTAAAAGTAAGAAGTATATGATGAAAGACTCTTGGGTTACAAGCTCCGTCAGGTGGTTGAATGGTGAATAAACTATTTCTTCTGCCAATGTTTTGAGAACAATCTCTGCTATCATCCTCACGGAGGCTGCATAACAAATCTGGTCATCTGTAGCCCTGAGGATGAGAGCAGAGATTGTTCTCGAAACATTGGCAGAAGATATGGTTTATTTAGCATTCAACCACCTGATGTGGCTTGTAACCCAAGAGTCTTTCATCAACTTCAGACACCGCGAAAGCTTCACTTTATATATAAGAAGTAATGAATATAATTTTCACTTAAATGAACTTTTTTTAAAAAACAACTTTCAGAATTTATATTAATAAGCTGGTCTTGCGCCGCTTTTGATAAATTTATTAAAAGAATCAGCAGATTCAGCTGAATGGAATCTATAGAAGGCAGTGAACATATCTTCGAAATAAGATTCTTCAGCTTTTCAACAATTCCTGCATTGGGAGAAAGTATTTTTGAGCATTTTAATCCCAAAACTGAAAGGATGTTTCTCTCCGCTGTGACTAATGCCTTGGTGAATTCATTAAATTCAAAGAAAGTGTTAACTTTAAAGAAGTAAAGCAAGCCATTAGTACACCTAAAAGCTAATTCTGCATTTGGTGGTATACCAGAAAGTCTTCTAGAGATAATTCCACATCTTTCAGCCCTAAATTGAAACCTCATTTCAAAAGTAGTGATCCTAATCTCTACCATCATATTTTAGTGTGTTCCATTCATGAAGATCACTATAACCAGCTACAGCCCTCTCACACAACAATTGTAAAACCTTCTTTCCGCATAATGGCTCTAATAATGACAAAATCCAAACAAGCACTCAACAGGATATATAACCTCAATATCCAAGTTTATTAGGCATAATCAATCCAGATCCACTGAATGATCTTACGTCTGATTTGCTATAGAAAATGTCAATCACAGTATCGGATATTCCAGTAGGATCCTCAATTTCAAAAGTGAAACAACGTTGTTTTTATTATGATCAGATTCATAAGTTCCATCCGCTTTCCCAGTAACATCGAATTCCGGGGCGTGATGCTGACCACTCACTCCCATCTAGTGCCGAGGTTAAGAATGGGTAGGAGCTATACTGCCTCTCCCCACAAGCGCCTACGTGGCATGTATCAAGAGAGGTTTACTCTTTTTTACTTACATTCTTATATCATGCTGCTGAAATGGGTTTTTATCATTTTATTTCCAGCTACTTAATTTTTGTTTTTGTTTTTTCAGAAAAATTTTACTGAAATTTTAGAAATGGATTAAATCCAGAAACTATCTCCCAAACATGTTCCTGTACCCTGATAATACTTTCAGACAAAATTAATTATATGTATAAATGAATACCTTTAATGTTTGAAAATGTTTCAGTGCTGTAGGCGAACTAGTAGAGGATGTATTTGAAGAAACACCACCTATGTCAACGTATCTGGTCGCTTTTATAGTCTCAGACTTCAAAGCTCTGTCAGTAGATGATAGAATATCATATCGCATTTGGGCACAAGAAGATGCCGTAGAACAGGCCGATTACAGTTTGTCTATCAGTCCAAGGATTATCCAGTTCTTTGAGGGCTTCACTGAGATTCAGTTTGAAATTGGTAAGATGGATCAAGCAGCATTGCCTGACTTCTCAGCGGGTGCCATGGAAAATTGGGGCCTTGTTACATACAGGTAGGTTCATATTAACCTTTAAAGTACCAGTCATTTAAGAGCCTATATCCTCTGCTGGCTTGATCAGTTACACTATGCTGTGCATCTCTGATAAAACACTCTATCTTTCTTAAAAACAAATATACAACAATGAAATTAAACACACATTCAGAAAAATTTAGTTTACCACGTGGAACCTTCCCTCAAGCTGTCACTCCACTAGATTATTTTTAATTGGAAGGAATATTACACACATTTATATTTCCTGCTATCATTAAATTTATATCCTGAAAAGTATTATAATATTAATTTATTTACCTTAAAACGTGACTGCATTGTGTAAACATTTCTTTTCTTACTGACATCCAACTGTAGAATTCTTTATTCTTGCTATGCATGCACACAGAAAAAGGTTCAACCAATTTCTCTCCACTGTCATACAGTCCATTGTTTGAGGGTCAGTATTTGTTGGTACAATTTCCAACGCATAGCACACAGTAGCATACACTCATTGCTTAGTGTTCTTGATTTTTGTCTCCAGATGGGACGACTTGGATGATGTTGGGCTTGGTCATCTTCATTTTATCCCCTTTCAAGTCACAGCCATATCTTCCACTGCAAGGATGAGGTCAAATTGATCCCTTAATCGCAAGTGGGTCATTTTACCCCATAAAACTCTGCATATTTAAAAAAAAAATTGTCGAGACAACAGACATTTTTGTTCTCTTGAAGTTTCGAAAATTAGGGCAGACCTTTTAGCCATCCTATCACTCGTATCACCATGGTTCATGTGCGATACAGTTTTTCGCTACATGTGGCTACAATGCACTCCATGATATATATCAAAAATCTGAATAAATATTTTCTGTTATTCGGTTCTTATAGAATTTTACTGTAACTCTAGTATACAAATTCTGTTTGGTTCCATAAAGAAAAGGTATTCTTTATAATTTTAAAACAATGCATCTTAAAAAACATTTTTTACTTCAGGCTATCAAGTTAGGTGGACCATCCTGTACAAACTTGACAAACCTCTTGTGTTATATAATCAATTCAAACTTTAAGACTCTAGTATGTGGTTACTTTTCAAATGAGAAACAGTTCTATTGATTAAGTCTGCAAGAATAAATTAAAGGAAGTCATAAGATACATTGGGATTTGAATTAGGCACACCCTGAATATGTCAGAATAAAACTTGTGTGGTCAGTGAGTTAAAGTTGAATTTATAATTTGTATTAGTCTTTTATGACATACATCAATACAGTCATGTTCATGTGTCAAACGTTTCCTATAAGTATTACTAGAATAATCAACTTTGCATTTCTAAATTTTATTTTAAGGTCGGTGCTAAGATAAAACACACATCCTGTATCTGACTTTCTGGTAGCTTTATAAATATAAGCACATTCGTTTATTGCTCTGATCATGGTTCACAAAGTAATTTTAATTCGTGGCTGATTTCCCAAGAAGATTTTATTGTGCCGGGCTGATTGCCCAAGAAGATTTTATTGCTCCAATAGCAATGTCACAAAATTCAATAATCTTATAATTATTTATGGAACATGCGGGAAAATAAAACAAAATTATTATTTTCAATTTTCCTAGCCATTACATAATAACCCTTCATACGTCAACGGGGTTAATTTGACCTTAAGACGGCACAGTGGATGGACAGACACTTAGGAATTATGACGATTCACTTTTTCTAACTTCAGAGAGAGATTGCTGCTGTTTAAGGAAGACACGTCAACAACTTCCAACAAGCAGAATATTGCTACAGTGATTGCTCATGAGTTCGCTCATCAGTGGTTTGGAGACCTGGTCAGTCCAGCGTGGTGGGATTACCTCTGGCTGAATGAAGGCTTTGCTACCTATTTTGAGTACTTCGCCACTATAGCGGTAAGGAAATGTATCTTGGCAAGAATTTAATTAATCAGTATACAAAAACTCTTCAACATGTGTGAAAATTCTTCAGAAATTTCTTTCCAGCATATGAACAGCTTTGTACATTTCTTTTGTTAAAGATTTGATTGTCCTCAGTAACAACAAGCAGGATATTAAATTGAACTTAAATTATTCTGTAATACTTCCACTGAAAGGAAATGTTTTGAACACAGAAAAATATCTCTGAAATATCAAAATCAACAGTCATGAACTTGATAAACATTGTGACTGCTGCAGAATGTGGTAACAAAGTTATTTAGAACAAATAATTTTCTTATTAGTTTTTGTTTACATGTGCATCCACAGATCTACAAACAGATGTATTACTTATTGTTGACTTTATGAATGGATCTACAGTTTCTTTACTTTAAAAATCTGTGCATTTCATACTGAAGGGAATGTCTTTATTTGTAAAGATGACTAATATCCATGTTCCAGGTGGAGCCTAACTGGCGTCTAGATCACCAGTTCGTAGTGAACGCACACCAGAATGCTCTGGTAGCTGATTCTTCAGCAACAACCCATCCTATAACAACATCAGTGTTCTCACCTCGACAAATCAGTTCTATTTTTGACACCATCTCATATGATAAAGGTCAGTAATTTGATGTTAAAAAATACAAGTATATGCCAATATGATTGAACAAAAGCCCTATGTATATGTGCAAATTCTAAGTAATCTGAAAAAAAAATAAGCCCTTTCATTGCTAGACATCCACATCAGTAATCTGAAAAAAAAATAAGCCCTTTTATTGCTAGAAAAATGTTAAATGACTTTTGACATCCACGGAGAAATTCAGTGACGACAGAAATTAAATCAGTTGTAATCACAATAACGATCCAACTCCAATGAATTCTATGTTGGGCATCTGTGGTTTCGTTCAAAGTCATTGACATTATGCAGATGGTCAGTTTACACTTTATAGTGCCGGAAGTTTAATTTTTATGTCTAGTTTCTTAAATACACAGGGACAGAGGATTTTCTTCTAGCCTCTGCGTCCAGACCGGCTCTGGAGCCCACCCAGCCTCCTATCCAATGGGTATCAGGGTCTTTCCTGGGGATAAAGTTAAACTGTAACAGGCACCCAGGGTTAAGAATATGGCACAGTATCTGTCACACGTGAACACACAATCCTTCGATCACATCTGTGCCTTAATATGCACTTCATCTGTACACTTGATCACTATATGATAAACTTTATGAGTGGCCGTGTACAAATAGCATTCATAGCATCATTACTGGACAGTACATGTTGCCCCATTTGACAGTGAATTACCTTGAAAACTAAACATCATATGACATTTGTAGTTTGATAGTTGCTGCAAAGTTTCATGCAGTAAATCATGCTATAGAGGGAAGAGCTCCTCATTATAAAATTTTCATCAATCCTTTCCTTCATCCTCCTTTGGTCTAAATATTCTCCTCGGCATCCTGTTTTCAAACGCCCTCAATCTGTGTCCTTCCCTTAATGCAACATATCAAATTTCACAATTATTAAACCAAAGGTAGAATGCTGATAAAATTTTCTTATTTCAAATCATCCTAATTAGGAAAAACATCACAGAAATAGAATTAATATAGGTTTCATTTGAACACATTTCAATTAACCTTAGTTACATATGTATAACAAATTAAATGAAAATATCATGTAATATATGTGTCCTAACTAAATCATAGGCTTCTTCGAAGTCTGTAAATAACTGATATACTATTATATAAGACTTGAGGCTTTCACGGCGACTAAATGATACGCTGTTGCCCAATGCAGATTAACACAAATAACCAATAAACAACATATTACCATGTTGTACTCCCACTTTTTTTGCCAACATCTGACAAATGAAGAAAATCTTATCTATATTATGTTCGAGTTCACACTGATGATCATCGACGGATCTGTCTACATACAGCCAGCACTACACTTTGATTTTAAATGGTGTTGTTCCATGGACACATGACATTATATGAGCAATGAGCCACTGCGTACCTTTACCAATGAAGCATCTGAAGAGATATTTTACATGCATTAAGATATTTTGGTCATCCATGCGTCAAAATTCCACATATGTACTTCGGTTCTAATCCGAATACTTTCAAAACTTTTGTAAATGATTCACACTTAAATGTCTGAGAAAATTTAAAACAACCATAACTTATGTAAAATTTTAAATGATTTTTGGAAAGATCATTATTTTTAGGATAAACACCTAACAAATTATAATGTAATAATAATATGTTGAAGATGACTGTCTTCTGGGATGTTGTGTTATGTAATAAGATAAATAATGTCATTTCTGAAGTTCTCGTGGCACAGATGGAGGGAGTAAGCAGCTATGAAATATCTAAAGCTTTCTACAAGATTACATGACTCAACATTTCAGAAGACAGTCATCTGACATAATAATATGCTGCTTAATGCACGTAAATGCCCATGTTTAATTTTCTTTGAAGTCAATAACACTAATTTTGTTTCCTTTATAGCTGGCTCCATCATCAGGACTGCCGAACACTTCCTAACACATGACACATTTGTAAATGGCCTCAGAAACTACCTAACGGAAAAGTAAGTTTTTTTTTTTCTTTTAAGTAATGAGAAAAGATAATAAATTTCTTGTTTAATTTGGAAAATATGGTTGTTGAAAATTAATTTTCTCTGTTCTGTAATACTTTCTTCTCATTTTGGAAATTAAAGCACCTGTAATTTTCAGTATACGCCTATGGATATGGTAAGGTAATTTTTGGCCCTGACTAATAGGAACATAGTCTAGATTCTACACTAACTGATCTTCATCTCTGTTATATAATTGGTTGTATAAAATGCCAAATGCCTACCTAGTCAATACCTCTGCATGAACTCTGACCTCAATTTCATGTCACTGGAGACCATCCCACATGACATGTTTTGATCCCCTATGGTAAACACCAATACAGCGGCTAAAATTTGAAAAGTGGAATACTCTGGTACCATTTAATTAGTCGTAGAATTTTTGCTTGGAAATATTTCATAAGATGGGTGCGAAACATGGTCTCTCACTCTGACGGAGGAACACAGATTGCAGGTGTTTGAGAATCGGGTGTTGAGGAGGATATTTGGGCCTA